GAGTCCGCAAAATTTCAATGTCTACAAATGCCCCCTGCTTCAAGGCTTGTCGGAGTGTAGACTTGATGAAACACAAAGACGAGGATTGAGGTACTCATTCTTCCACCTTTGTAGCTTCAGATTTTCAAATTTGATTTAAGAGAGAAGAGATGAAGGGTAGATTTGGTCCCACTGGGCATGCCAATTTGTTTGCAACAAATTTTAAAGTGATAGAAAATAAATGACAATCACAATAAATTAATAAGAAACATAACTTTATTGATAAATATGCAGGTACAATTATGTTCTTTCCTTGATTCAACTTTCTTAAGATTTATCCATGATTCGAGGGCCGTTAGTGGTGTATTTCTCGAACTAGGATGATTTAGATTTGACCTCTATATGAGTATTCCATGACTTTTGTGGAATATTCGAGATCCCGATCTTTAAAAATATCCAAGAGTTTATGGGATCTTTTGAGATGTCTTTTAAGGGAATTTGTACCATTTATATAGGTGTGAACTAGGGTTTAGGGGTGAGTAGCCTCCAAGAATCCTAATTTGAGTTAAACACAATTTGTAGAATTCCAACTCGAATTAAATGCATCTTGTAGAGTCCCACAAAATTTCAATGTCTACAATTAGTATTAATATATAGTGGTGACTGATGGAGATGATTGTCGATAGTAATTATTGGTTGTTACATAGTAATGGTTAATGATAATGATCATAAATGGTGGCTAGTGAACCATGACAAATAAACAATAAATGTCGTTTTCTTAATTTAGTATAAAAATTGTCTATATCAAAAGAAAGAAAACATTAATAAACCAGAGGAAGGTTCTCGCATGGTAAACATCGAGCCATTAAGGTTGTTAGTTAGTCGACACAGATCTGTTTTCACGCATCCAACTGGCATTGACTTAGTTATGTATTATTAATCCAAAACATTACAATATGACTACTTACGCTGTTGTAATATTTAACTGCTTCTTATTATTTTATTGATAAATACTAACATGGTGCTGCAAATTAAATTGCGGTATGGTTGTATATCAGTCACCCAACTGCCCATCATTAATATTACACCTACTCTTCTGATTTTACACACTCAACTAACATGGTGTTGGAAATTAATTAAAGTTTTATTATAAATACACAAGAGTAGTACATTATTTGATATCTTGAGTTACATCTAAAAATTATTTTTGTTGTAATTCCTCTCCATATTGACTTGATGGCTGCATATACTGCTGTAATTTCTCTTCTTCAAACTCTTGATCAACCAAATATTTCAGAACTCTTTCATGATCATAGTACTGAAATGCTCAATTCTCTTCGTGCTTCAGCTGATATTTTCAAGATGTTCTTGAAAACACTAGCAATGAGAAAATCAAATCTTTGGAGGAAGATATTAGAGTTGTTGTTAGTGAGGCAGAGGATGTTGTTGAAATGAAGATTTCTGAAATCATCAAAGAAGAAAGCTGGACATTTGGAATTTTACAACACCATGATATGCTACCAGTTGTTGAAAAAATGGATACGACAAAGAAACAAGTGATGGAGATTCTTTCTCATGATGCTGATCAAATTCTTGAATTAACCGCGGATTCCTTGATTGGCGCTTCTTCTATGAGTGATCCAACGCTGTCAGATCACTTGAAAGATGATATCGTGCAGGGACTTGATGGTGACTTGGAGATAATAGATAAAAGATTGAGAGGACCAACGTCGTATCTAGACATTGTCACCATAACGGGTATGGGTGGCATTGGCAAAACAACACTCGCTAAAAAAGCTTATGATCATCTTCCAATCAGGTATCACTTTGACATTTTTGTTTGGGTTACAATATCTCAAGAATTTCTATATAAAAATGTATTGTTAGACGCTTTACATTGCATTTCAAAGCAAAGAGTTAATGTGAACACAAAAGATTATGATAACATGAATGACAGTGAGTTAGCTGACGTGGTGAAAAAGAGTCTAAACGGTCCAAGATACCTTGTTGTTGTTGATGATATTTGGAGTACGGATGATTGGGATAGCATATCACAAATATTTCCTAATCGCAACAATGGGAGTCGAGTCTTATTGACTACTAGGGAAACTGATGTAGCAATATATGCAAATTCTAGTATCCCTCATAAGATGAACCTCTTGGATTTAGATAATAGTTGGAAGTTACTCTGTGATAAGGCGTTTGGACTAGAACACGATCATCCTCCCAAGTTGGAAGAAATTGGAAAAAAAATAGCAGAAAAATGCCAAGGACTTCCCTTAATAATTTCAGTGATTGCAGGGCATCTCTCTAAAACGGTGCCCAAGAAATTAGAAAGTTGGAATTATGTTGCCAAAACATTAAGTGAAATCATTGCTAGTCATTCAAATAAATGCTTAGGAGTGCTCGGTTTGAGTTACCATCACTTGCCTAATCGACTCAAACCGTGCTTTCTTTCTATGGGTGATTTCCCAGAGGATTTTCAAGTTGAAACTTGGAGATTGATCCAATTATGGATCGCAGAAGGTTTCATAAGGACGTCTTCTGGACGTCATGAAAGCTTGGAAGAAGTGGCAAAACATTATTTGGAGGATCTTATCAGCAGGAACTTGATAATGGCTAGAAAAAAAAGATTCAATGGTGAGGTAAAAGTATGCGGAATACATGATCTGCTGCGTGAGTTCTGTTTGATAGAAGCTGAAATGACAAAGTTTATGCATGTTGTGAGAACTCCATTTGCACCAGTACAAAAGCCTAATTTTCGTCGCTTCAGTATTCAAAAGCCTATTAAGGATGGTCTTAAGCTCTCACCCCCTGTAGCCAGATCTATCTACTGCTTTTCTTACTTGGATCTACCTTTTGAAACCCATATTAAGCTTCTCCCTATATTGCCCATCTACCGTCATAATCCTATAATACATGGATTTTTCTCTTGTTTCAACCATCTCAGGGTATTGGCCATC